CTACTGATTTAGGGACTGATACATGATGCACAAAGGACCCTAAAATTAGGGTGTAACGTCCTAAATAGCTAGAGGGGGTGAATAGCCTATAAAATTCTCTACAAATTCACTAGAGCAAAGGTTAGTAACCTAAATGGCGAAATGCAATTTTGCTCAAGCTCTATAAGGGTTGCAAGCCACTTATACCAACTATTCTAGTTGCTATGATTTATAGGTTCACACAAAGGCTATGTCACTAGTCACCAAGCTAGCGAGCTCTCAAAGACTAACTAGTTGATCGCTCACGTAGTTAAGTTGTGACCAGACGCGCCTCTCAAAACGACTAGACTCACCACAATGTGGCATCCGATCGAGTACAGAAAGGCACCAGAGACGATTTTGGGCGACCGGACGTGTCCTGTCGCGCATGACCGGACTCGCCAGTGCGTTCGGTCCTCTGCACCCGCACATGAAGGTTACGCCAGCGTACGTCAGCCATGACCTAACACACCCCTTGTGCATCCAGTCGCGTTTGCCCAGCTGAGTTCGATCGCCACCACGTGTTGCACCTTCTCTGGACTAAGTGATCGGACGTCAGCCCTACGTCCGATCCCTGCGTCTGCTCATGCCACAAAGGCAGACCGAGACCTAGGGTTTAGCGTCGGACATGTCCGGTCAGCACCCTTTGCCTTCTTTTCTTTTTCTATCTCCTCAAGCACTTCACCCTTGCTTCCAAGTTGCTAACCGCAAAGCGTAGAACTTGTGTGCACGTGTGTTAGCATTTTTCCATGTATTTTTCAAGGGTTAAAAGTTAGCAAACTAGGTCCTTAATGCATATGCAAGAATCATGTCACCTAGTGGCACTCGATAACCATTTAGCCAAAGATTTCCCCTCTTTATAGTACGGCTATCGATCCTAAACACACTCATACCCTCTATGGTGTCTTGAGTGCCAAAACAAAAACCTATTTGGTACCTTTGCCTTGATCAACGCATGGTTTTTGTTCTTCTCTTTCTTCTTTTCCACGTTAGAGCTTGATCACCAAGTTTGGCCACCACCATCATCATGACCATCATCTAGCTCCACCACTTGGTGTGTATAACCCTATCCCAATCACAACACTTAATGACAAGGGTTAGTACACTAGGTTTCATCAATTATCCAAAACCAAACTAGGGCTTTCATAGGGGCCCGATACGTACATCCCCACCGCCTGGCTTCCCTGCCTCCCCCCGACCCCCTTCCTTCTAAGCCCGCTAGAGTTGGAGACGAGGGAGGGAGAGAGTTGCCGAAGATGGAGATGATAGAGACGCTGGCGAGCTTGGGTGGGGGCACCGGAGATGGAGACGAGGGCGGCGCCGGCAAGCTCGGGTGGAGGCACAGGCGCGTTGGTGGACTGCTAGGCCGCGATGGGCCAAATTGAGCAGCGAAAGAAGGAAGATAAACAGTGGGGAGGGAGGTTCAGCGCGCCGACCGGTCGGTAGCAAAGATTACCGCAAATTCTTCCAACATTTGAGCCATTGCGTGGAGGCATCTCTAAATTGCAAAAGCTATCACTTGCCGATGATGCAACTTGACACAATGCCCGTGACACCATCATAGGCCCACCTGTCAGCCTTTAACTGGAGAGATAGGTGGAACGGCCATGGCAATTTGATATAAAATTGAACTGAATATATTCAGGGTCAGTTTGGTAGAGCTCAGCCTCACTAGCGAAGCAGTTTTTTTGCTTCAATTCCATGAAATAGCTTCACCAGTAAAGCTAAAGCCGTTTTCAAAAAAATTTGGTAAAACAACTTTTAGGTACGATAGCAGATAGAAAATTGGGAGAAGCTAGGATTTTCAGCTTCATCTTGGTTCTTGTGTTGTGAGAGAAGCTGAAAAACAACTTTTAGAGAGAAGCTGTTTCATCTGGATACGTTTGATATAGGAAATTGAAAAATAGCTTTGTGAAGTTGGAGCAAAGCCCTACCAAATAGCCCTCAAGTAGAGGGTATAATTTCTAATGGTATCTGAAATCATATATGAACTCAGACATGATTAGCCGCAGGATGCGGAATCAAGGGCTCTTCAAGAATCATAAAGGGACTTGGTTATGATTTGTGATGGAAGAGACATATATTGATGACTCTTCTAGAGGTGACACAAGAAAAAATTAGACTTTTAATATTCAAGATAGAATAGAAGGAATAATGTTATAAGGTAATGAGAAAAAATATTTAAGCAGTACTTGAAAAACTGTTCCAACGTGGACATGAAATATTTTAGCTTTGTAATAACTTTTTATAGTTTTGGAAAATAATAGTATAGATCTATTAGAAAATTGTTTTACATTTTAAAAAAGTTCTATGTTAAGGGCAAAATTGTTCATGTATGGAAAGAAGATGTTTCATCAAATGTTAAGTACATTCATTAGAAGTAATTAAGAAACATATCAACAGGTTATAGTATATTCACTTGAGAGAAAAAGAAAAGTATTTTTAATGATTGATTAAAACCTCTTCTTTCTAGATTTAAATATAAAATAGAATTATGAAATTGCAAGGAAAAAACAAAATGGAAGAAAAATACAAAGAGAAAAGAATGAAACAAAATAAAAAGAAGCAGAATAGAAGTGGAAACGGCCCACATATCTGACGTGCCGCTTCGCTCTAAGTGGGCCAGCGAACATGGTTGCGTATGCGACATATAGGATACAGCAAACACACAAAAGGTCGTGACTATCAGATTAGGCCATGTCTCACCTGTTCACGGTAGGCCCAACTTCTCTTCAGCTTGGCCCAATCACTTTGTTTCTTTTCTTCTCAAAGAGAAAAGAGAAAGAAAGAAAGAAAGAAAGAAAGAAAGAAGCTCGATTTCATCTTGTGCAGTTGTTGTACATAATCCATGTTCGCTATTTTGGTAGTTGTAGTGACTATGGTAGAAATAGAACTTTATTTTAATCGATGAAGCTTTATTAAATAAAGTTACGAGCAAACAAGGCCATTGTTGAGGATGGACCTTGAGACCTCTTCTTGTGCTTTATTTCTTACTAAATTAGCAAACATATTCATACGTTAAAGTGGAGCGTGCAACTTATTTTATTTTTTTAATATATCTTGAAATCAGACTCTATACCATAGTTAATATGCTATTCTAACTCTAATGAGCACAATTGTGAGTTCATATCATGGATGGGACAGTAAACCAAACATGACTCTTATGTCTAATTCATCATATATACTGCTAGTCATGTTGAGCTACAACTTAGAGAAGATGCTAACAAATCTGACTCTTACCTGCATCCTCCTCACGCCCTCTCTTATTTTCTAAGCTCTAAGCGGAGTAGAGCTTCGCCTAAGCTTGAAATGGATGCCTCTCCTTGGTGTGTTGAGAGTAAGGGGGTACTTCCCTATTTATAGTAGCTAGATGTGGGCCCATAGATCCAGGTGATGTTAATGATGACTATTTGATCTCACAACTGTCATAGACTAACTTTTCTAGATGTGCTCAAGTGTGTTTCCTTGCATGGAACCAAATGGGAGGTAGTTCTACCATGGGGTTCATGACAGGCGGCCAGGGTCGGCAAACGCCCTGGCCTCCCCATCCCCTAGGCCCTTCTTGTTTCTTGTATAGTTGGGTCCACTTTATCAATGATGGTTCTAGTATAGGTGATGTTGGCGAGGAATGGACCACGAATGTGGGTCCATTAATCCATGTACATGTCTATCCAACCTTTGGGAGAAAACACACCTTGTATCCAATGGATAGAAATAGTCGTAACTGTGTTTCTTGCCACCACACCAAGATTGAGCCCGAGTGGTGACACTTGCCCGGTTGCCTGACATGTGGGCCAAATTGGCTCATTTTCAACATTTGTGTTTCTGCATCCAAATATACTCCATACACATGTGGAACCGTATTATTTGTAATGCTAACTCATCAGATCGGTAAGGGTGGATAAGGACTAGATGTGGAGATAGAGCCAGACAAAGGGCATGATTTGGGTCAACCGAACAACTAGGATTGGTTAGGCTGGGAAAAGGAATGACCCTTCGTCAAGAAACTTTGGCGGACAAGGTTTGTTACACGGTTACAAGTGGCTAGGCTCCTTTGAGAGATCTCTACAAAGGCTAATGGAACTTAATTAGGGAGATAGGTTTAGGTTTCATAAGAAATTCTTAAAAGGTTTTAGAGAGTTGAGTTTTTGGGTCGTTACACACAAGCATTGTAAATCATAAGCTTCATATTTATTTATATATGCATCATTGCACTCGTGTAGGGATAGAAGCAACCCCAAAGGCACCCGTTGAGCAAGAGGTCGAGTTTGTGACTGGGCGCGAGCTCCCTGACCCGCCTAAGACAGGCACCTAAACATCTTTCTTATCTTTTACAAATGCATACCATGACTATATGTATGTACTTGCATGTTACTTATGTATGGCTTGACCTAGATGCAACATTAGCCTTCATACCTTATTGTTCACTCCATACCCTGAAGTGTTGTTTGTTCAATTTCCTAGACAACAATCATTCTTTGTATGGTAGAATGTAAGTACGTGATGGGGGCTCACACCATATCTAGTTTGACTTAGAATTATACATCTATACTTGTTTTAGATAATGAAACCAAACACAACCGCACATTTGAGTTGCATCTTTTTCAGGATGGAGGGAGTGCATGTGTAGAAAACATTGTACTTCCGCTCGAATTTCATAACAAATGATTCAATTATAAAAAGTAATGAAAACATCCTCCTCGGAAACATGTTCTCCTGAAAATTGGGAGAGAAAACATGTTGAAAAAAAGTGAGAGCAATAAACGGATGAGAGAAGATTAATACGCACCAAATGAAGGAAGACACCACAAGAATTTGAGACAGTTAAAGCATGGTTAAAATTAGCATGCCAACGGCGGGGCAACCAGACAACTAGCCACCAACGCCATCACGCGCGCGCACGCATGCACGACCTCACGACGCCCCCCGGCCTCCTCCTCTCCTCTTGAACGCGAACTGAAGCCAAGCAGCCGCCGCCGGCGATGTGGTCGTCGTGGGTCCGCCGGAGCAAGACCTCCGGGCGGCTCACGCAGTCGCCGTCCTTCTCATCGCCCACGGTTTCGTCGCCCACCGGCAAGGACAACCCGGGCATCGGCGCGGTCCTCGACGACGCGGCGGCCGATGCTAGCCCCACTGCCGGAGCCGGAGCCGGCGCCGGCGCCGGCTCAGGGAGCAAGATCGTCCTTCACCGCTCGCGGTCGGCGTCGAGGCTGTGGACGTGCAAGTCGTTCGCGGCGGCCGCGGAGGCCGCGGCGGCTTCCGTGGCGGGGGAGCGCCGCGTCGTGCTCTACTTCACCTCCCTCCGCGCCGTGCGCGCCACGTTCGAGGACTGCCGCGCCGTGCGCACGATCCTGCGGGGGCTCCGCGTCTCGGTCGACGAGCGGGACGTGTCCATGGACGCCGCCTACCTCGCCGAGCTCCGCGCGCTGATGCGGCGGGACCGCCCGTCCCTGCCACAGCTCTTCGTCGGCGGCAGGCTCGTCGGGGACGCCGAGGAGGTGCGCCTCCTGCACGAGAGCGGGGAGCTCCGGCGCGTCCTGGCCGGCGCGGCGCAGGCGGCGCCCACGCCGTGTGCACCGTGCGGAGGCTCGCGGTTTGTGCCGTGCGGCGCATGTTGCGGCAGCCACCGCCGGTTCAGCGAGAAGACCGGCGGTTTCCGCGTCTGCGGGTCCTGCAACGAGAATGGGCTTGTCCGGTGCGCCGCCTGCTCCTCCGGCAGCTGACGTGCACAGATGAGATCCCCTATCGCAGAGTCGATTGTCCAAGAGATGGAAGACAATGCTAACGAATTCCTAGATCACTTGTGCCGCGCTGGATTCAAACCTGAAGATCTCGGTTCATCAAACCAAAAGGTGTTCGAATTTGACATTGTTCGATCAGAGTAATTGTGTGTTTCTGAGCGTAGCCAATGTTCATGGTTAGAAACATCATCAAGGAATAATCCACTCTTGACTCCTCCAGAAATTTTGTTGTCTCGTTTCTACCTTCTTGATGTCTTATCTCGAAGGAAATGAACAACCGTAAAATTTCCACCCAAAACTATATATCAATACGATAGCTGACGTGTGGCCTTGTGGGTTGTTTTTTCTTCAGATTTACATTTTCTTTTTGCCAGCTGGGCCACGTTGTTGTGACATATATATAAGGACTGTTTGCTTATTATTAGGACTTGATCTGAACATGGCCGACCGCTAATTCAAATGGAAATGCTGCCCGCAAGTTCCCCAATCCACGCTAAGGATGAAAGTCGATTAGATACGCATGGATACAAATATGGATAGTTGTTTCTTTTTAATTTGGAGTCAGATACGAATATAATGTTGGATGATGCGTCTGATATCAATATCCATTTTATACCCTTGAGTATTTTGGATTTTGATACGATACTGACATTGAATGTTTGGATTTAGATACGGACATTGAATGTTTGTCTTCCATCTCATGACCTCACCCATTCAAGTGTGGCTACCGCCGTGTTTTATGACCGCGGTGTGGTATCGCGACTGTGGCCTCTAACCCGCAGCACAGTAGTTTAATCTCGTAGCCTTGGTGTCTACGCAGTGGAAAGAATTATCGATATTGCAAGAAGTTTGGCGGGATTTTCTTATTCTCATGACGAGGTAACATAAAATCCGACACAGCCTACAGGACATGAATATGTGTTCAGTTTGTTTCTACTACCTCCGACGTACTTAGAACTGTAAAATTTTTGTACCCACATCTAACTTGAATTTACACTAGAGCCCATTACAAATGCCAAATGGTATTTGGGCCTTTTTAGAGAGCACGCAGGAGTTTCATTGAAAAATGAGCTCCCTGTCGCTGAACAGTTCGTGAGCACCGAGCAGATGAATCGAAGCTAACGTGCTCATTTGTACCATAAAAGCAAAGAAGGCCATTGCATGCAAGAATGAAAGCACGTACGGAGATTGCTGGCCCAACAAGCCCAGTAACTACTTGAGCTAGTTATCCTTTCAAGCAAAACTCTATTATCATATTTCTTTCAACATACAAGCTATCTAACTAAGCAATACACTATCTAACACAATTAAAATCTACTAGCACAGGCAGCAAAACTCCACAACCATATTTCTCTCAACATGCAAACTATTCAACTAGGTAATGTACTATCACACACAATGACACAATTAAAAACCACTAGCACAGGCAATTGTAATATCCATATTAGCAAGATACATAAACATTTTTTTATCCACGTCGTCATGCCACACAATCTACTAATATGTAATTCCCACAGCAACGCGCGGGGTATGCTTCTATATATATATATATATATATATATATATATGACAAAAACACCTCCAAACAACCATGGATTATAGTATATTGGTTACATTAATTAATCTCGGAAGCTACAATGAGTTGCACTCTAATTAGGTGTACCATAAAACGGCCCTTATTTACACGTACGAACCCCTAGTTAGGCTTTTGTGATCATGCCGTGGATTGCACGTTTAGGAACGACGTAACGGAGAAGTACTACAACGATATGATGCTGCTGAATACATGATTGATCGCAACACATCAGATCCTAATTAAACAAAGTATTGACAACCAAAAATGTTGAATACCAGCAAATCTGGTTTCCCAAAACCGACCAAACTGGTCTAGGCCACTTTATCAAATGGCAAAGTGAATTTCACCATTGTATTTCAAGTCCAGATGAGTGAATCACGGTCTCGGCAAGATTCCCACCCGTAATAGGCTAGGCCAGTTTTGTCAGCCTAAAACTAAATTACAATTGTATTTTCCCATAGATTTAATAAGAATTTTGACCTCATTATGGGATAAGTTCACCTTCACCTTATCTATACCTAATCTATACCTAATCTATATCTATATCTATATCTATATCTATATCTATATCTATATCTATATCTATACCTACCTAATAATAAAGAGGCAAAATTTCAGCCTATTTTTTTCGTCTATCCATTTTTTTGGTCGGTCTCTCTCTAACTATCAGACAATGAGGGTTTCTTCCATCCGGACATATATAAATAATATATAACACGTGCTCATACGAGTTAGAATAGTTCGCGTCAAGATTTGGATCAGATGTCTCCTGACTCCTCATAACTTGGGAGATTTGGATGAAGAATTCAGTCAAGAAGAAATTGAGGGAGTGATCAGATGTCTGCCAAATAGTCATGCACCAGGGCCTGGTGGTTTCAATGGACTCTTTATAAAGAAACGCGGAAACATAATTAAAGATGACTTCATCAAGATGTTTAGAGATTTCTGCAATCACAACATTGATTTAAAGAGTATCAACTCTTCAGTCATTGTCCTGATACCGAAGAAGGAAAACCCAGAATGTGTAAATGACTATAGGCCTATCTCCTTGTTGAATTATTCACTCAAATGTATCACCAAGATACTATCTATGAGGCTACAAAGGGTGATTCTTCAACTAGTACATGCTAACCAATATGGCTTCATCAAGGGAAGAACCATACAAGACTGTCTGGCTTGGTCATTCCAATTCCTTCATCTGTGCCACCATTCCAAGAAGGAAATTCTCATTTTGAAACTTGATTTTGAGAAGGCATTTGATAAACTTGAGCATCAAGTCATCTTACAGGTTTTTAGACATAAAGGTTTTTCAGAAAAGTGGGTCAAGTGGATTTGTAATTTGCTAAGCAGTGGCTCCTCTTCTGTCCTACTCAATGGCATTCGTGGTAAAACATTCAACTGCAAAAAGGGTGTTAGACAGGGTGATCCACTTTCACCCCTTCTGTTTGTTCTGGCTGCAGATTTGCTACAAATAGTGGTTAACAAAGCCTGGCAGAATGGAGTTCTAAAACATCCAATCAGTGACACCTTCCAAGGAGATTATCCCATAGTTCAATATGCTGATGACACACTACTTGTCCTTCCAGGTGATGCAAGAACTCTCTTCAATCTCAAAGGTCTCCTTAGATCATTTTCAGATTCCACAGGCCTTCATGTGAATTTTGGAAAGTCCTTTTTAGTGCCAATTAACATGGATAATAACAGGGCCAACCATCTTGCCAATACCTTTGGATGTCAGGTAGGCAACATGCCATTTACCTACTTGGGACTCCCCCTTGGTACCACCAAGCCATCCCTTGTTGAATTCACCCCTTTGCTCACAAAATTTGAGAGAAGGCTCTCAGGAATCAGCAAACTGCTATCTTATGATGGAAGACTTATTCTTGTCAATTCTATCTTTTCAGCTTTACCAACATTCTATATGTGCAGCCTTAAAATCCCACCTCAAGTTATTAAACAGATTGACATTTATAGAAAACACTACTTGTGGAGCAAGGGTAACATCAATAGAAAAGGAAGTTGTTTGGCTGCCTGGGAGGTTGCTTGCAAACCAAAGGAGCAGGGTGGCTTAGAAATTCCATTGACATACAAAGTCAAAATGAAGCACTACTAATGAAGTTCCTGGATAAATTCTTCAATAATGCTGATATACCCTGGGTCAATCTCACTTGGACTAAGCTCTATTCCAACAATTAGACACCTCCACAAGCTAGAAGCCCTGTTGGGTCATTTTGGTGGAAGGACATTTTAAAGTTGTTTAGCAAATTCCAGGAAATGTCCATTTGCCACTCCAGCAAAGGTAACAGTGTCAGGTTCTGGTCAGACTCTTGGGATAATGAGGTACTGAAAGATAAGTACCCACAATTGTACTCATTTACAAGAAATGCCCAAATGTTCCATCAGCTTTTTCTCATAACAAGAAATGGACAGATTGTTCAGGTTACCCCTTTCTCAACTAGCTGTTGCACAACTAGAAGAAATTCAGACATCTATGGACTCGACAGTGGGATGAAAATGTCAATGATCTCTGGAGCTACACTTGGGGTTCACAAGGTATAGCAGCAAAAAGGCCTATAAAATAATTATTGGAATTACTGCAGCCTCACCATTATTTAAATGGCTTTGGGCCTCATGCAACCTGGGTAAGCAAAAATTATTCTTTTGGCTTCTCCTCAAAGATAGGTTAAATACAAGAAACTTATTAAGAAAGAATAGAGTGCTGGATGACTACAACTGTGTTCTGTGCAATTTGGGTTGTGAAGAAACTTGCTTTCATCTATTTTTTGAATGCCCTTTCAGTCGAAATTGCTGGTCCACCTTACCAATCAACTGGAATCTAAGTCTCAGTCCACTAGATATGATCCTTCAAGCAAGATTAGAATTTGACAGTGTTCTTTTCAGAGAGATAGTCATCACTGTCTGCTGGATTATTTGGACTACAAGGAATAGAGTGATTTTTTATAATGGCCAATTCAACCTTAACATGTGGAAGAGACAATTCAGATCAGAGCTTGGCTTGGTTTGCACCAAAGCCAAACCCAGTAGGCAATCTTTACTTAACGTTTGGAGAGACAATTACTTGTAACAGTTTTACTCTTTCTTCTTTTGGGTTTAGATGCCTTGTATTTTCTCCTTTTAGGCTAGAGTTGCTTCTTCTTTTTGCTTCTGTCTCTTTTCTTGTCAGTTTGTACAGCTCATTCTTTCATTTAATGGAAAAGCAAAAAAAAAAAGGGTAGGGGGCTCCATGTTGATTTGGTCAAAAAAAAAAAGAATAGTTCGCGTCTAGACCGATATGGAGTCTGATTCTAAGATTATTGGGTTCTATGCAAACGAACTAGGATTAGATTATGATTTTTCCTTCTTCTTTCCTTCTAGGATAAAGTCGTATGCTTTACAACAACAAGAG